TACTTGTATAAATCACTCCACTAGCGTGTCAAGTCTGACTATTTCCAAGACAACCGTTGGCAATAGAAAGACGAAAATGCCCTCTTTCTCATGTGTTGGCACTGTGCAATTCAACATGTCAAAAAAGGTAGGAGCAATATTGTCAATAGTGGCCTCATGGTGCTTTTAAAAATATGTGTGAGTCATGGAAAAGTACAGAAACCTACACAACTTTGCAGTGAAATAGCCCGTGGGTCCCAACCGCCTACAATTTTTGACCCAAGAAAATGAAAATGAGAAAAAATGGAGGCTTTTGCTTGTGTGTCAAAAGAGGTGCATCCACCTGGGTGACCGACCCTCACAATTGAGTGGGATCGACATGGGACCCATGTGTAATAAAAAATGAAAAAAAAAAAGCCTCACCCCCTCCCAATGTATCTGTCCTGTCAAGGAAGGTGTCACACCCTCCCTGGCACTGCAGTATTTCTCTAATCCTAAAGTAAAATACAATCAATCCAATTACAGGATGTAGGAGCAAATGAAGCAAAATTAAGAGTCATCCTATTTCCCTCGAGAAGAATAAAGAAGGAAAATGTTAGAAGTACATTAAATACATTAGGGTATTCATAATGGACACCGGTCACCTCCTCAATGGAGGGAGTGCTGGTGGTTGAGAAAGTGCCGACACCCTAATGTATATATACCTCAATGTACAAGAAGCACAACCCAATAAAAAAATATTTACCAATACCTTTCTCTTTCTTGAGCTTTGCTTGGGGTACATAGGGGCTAACATAATACTTGAGTCCCACCTCATGTGAGTATTATATGTACCGTTATATAGGAAAATTATGTACATTTATCATTTTTCCTCTTTTATTAGACTCCTGGTGAAAATATGTTCCATTTTTTTCATGGAAAAATAAAATGTGATTCAGCATTTAATTCTTCAGATTACACACAACTACTCTAATCCGAACACAAATTAATTTGCNTTTCAACCATATATTCTTCTAATAAATAATTTTACACGTAAATATAAAATTTTCTCTACTTTTTAACCACACGATTTAGTAAAATTTTGCTGACAGTTATTGGAGAAGGTAGTTGAATAACTGTTGATGTTCAATGTATTCATATAATGCATTAATAGGCCGTGTTTGATAGTATAAGGAAGACAAAGCAAGTTTAATTTTGGTTTGTACTATCAAATATGTAAAAAACTTGCACATGGGGATTATATACTTGTATGCTTATGGAGTTATGGTGTTAATTCTTAGATTTTGTTGCAAGTCATTTTCACATAAAAAGGAGTTGTTTTATTTTTCTTTTTTAATTGAACAAAGCTTTTTTTCCATAATGTCATCTAACACTGCAGGTGAGGTCAAAAGTGAATCTTGCTTCTTGTACCCTTTGTTTGACAGATAGGATGACAGATTCAATTTTCTGGAACATTTCGGCCTTTTTTTTTAAATTCTTCCAAGGGTTATGCTACAGGTACATAATTTTTTACTTAATCTTTTACACTCCATTCACATTAGGAGATGAGGACCACGAACCGACATTTTTAAAAATACATGAGGTCCGCGCCCCATGTGGGGAGGGGGGGGGGGACACCATTCGGTTATCCCCCATCGGTACAAGGGAAATAAACCTTCTCCCAAACTCCACAGAAACATTTCATCTGCCATATTTTTTGTTAAAGAAAGTGTACAAGTAACTTAGCCCCCATTTGGCCCCCTTTTTGTTAATTCAATTATCAATATCATTTGCACACTTTTCCACAAACGAACTTGTCAATTACTTGTATAAATCACTCCACTAGCGTGTCAAGTCTGACTATTTCCAAGACAACCGTTGGCAATAGAAAGACGAAAATGCCCTCTTTCTCATGTGTTGGCACTGTGCAATTCAACATGTCAAAAAAGGTAGGAGCAATATTGTCAATAGTGGCCTTATGGTGCTTTTAAAAATATGTGTGAGTCATGGAAAAGTACAAAAACCTACACAACTTTGCAGTGAAATAGCCCGTGGGTCCCAGCCGCCTACAATTTTTGACCCAAGAAAATGAAAATGAGAAAAAATGGAGGCTTTTGCTGGTGTGTCAAAAGAGGTGCACCCACCTGGGTGATCGACCCTCACAAGTGGGTGGGATCGACATGGGAGTCATGTGTAATAAAAAATGAAAAAAAAGGCATCACCCCTTCTCAATGTATCTGTCCTGTCAAGGAGGGTGTCACACCCTCCCTGGCACTGCAGTATTTCTCTAATTCTAAAGTAAAATACAATGAATCCAATTAAAGGACGTAGGAGCAAATGAAGCAAAATTAAGAGTCATCCTATTTCCCTCTAGAGGAATAAAGAAGGAAAATGTTAGAAGTACATTAAATACATTAGGGTATTCATAATGGACATCCGTCACCTCCTCAATGGAGGGAGTACTGGTGGTTGAGAAAGTGCCGACACCCTAATGTATACATCAATGTACAAGAAGCACAACCCATTAAAAAAATATTTTTCCAATACCTTCCTCTTTCTTGAGCTTTGCTTGGGGTACATAGGGGCTAACATAATACTTGAGTCCCACCTCATGTGAGTATTATATGTACCGTTATATAGGAAAATTATGTACATTTATCATTTTTCCCCTTTTATTAGACTCCTGGTGAAAATATGTTCCATTTTTTTCATGGAAAAATAAAATGTGATTCAGCATTTAATTCTTCAGATTACACACAACTACCCTAATCCGAACACAAATTAATTTGCNNNNCTAATCCGAACACAAATTAATTTGCCTTACCCTTAATATTTAGATTAAGATTTGAAAAGAAAATCTAAATATTATACATGACGTAGCATTTTCACCTTACCCATCAAATATCATTTAAAGTTTATCTTCTTTTGATATATATTTGAGCCCTTTATTTGTGTCCTTTTTTCATTTTTTTTTTCTTTTTTTCAGAATATGTATTGTAAAATATAATTTTTTTAAAAAAAATATATGTGATTAAAAAAAAAAAACTTTGAGTTCACGTGTAATATTATTTTATTGAAAATATGTTTAATTAAAAAAAGAGGAAAAGACGAATTTTAAATAATGTGGCTCGAATAGGGATGGGAAATCTGCTAAACATTTTTATTTTTTGGTCAAGAGTGTCGTGACCGTCATTCTTGTATAAAACCAATAGCATACGTGGTTAAGCTAAAGAAAAAGGTAAAAGTACATTTTAACAACCTTTTTGTTCGAACAAGGTTAACTAAATTACATTTAAATAGGAAAAAAAAATTATTTTCTCTTAACGTAACTCTTACCTTTAATTGATGATTCCGATTCTTGAAATACTCGTATTGAACTTACGCCCACCCCTACTCTCAACAACGAGAAAATAATGGATTCAATCAAAATGGGATTTAGTAACGCGCTTGCTATATAAAACATCTTTATCCAAAACAACTTTGTACCACCTAGTCTTTTTCTGTCAATTAAAAAAATATTAGAAAAATATGTTGACGAATAAAATAAAAAAATATCATTTACTTGTTGATTATAACTCAATAATTTAGTACTCGTGACACTTCATAATAGAGCAGAACTTACGATCCATTTAATTGAATCTAATTATTGATATCATCTACATTAATGTTAAACATTTTATGTCCCAAATATAATTAGTTTTTTCTCTTATTTAAGACATATATTGCTGATCCTAATCTATATTTTTCAATGCATTTGTTGGGAATTTGGCAGGACATTCATGTAGCAAAAAATCATATAGGTTGAAAACTTTAATCAAACTTTGTTAAAACGCAATTCTCACCAACCCCACCACCCACAACTAGACTTTGTTTGCCGTCCGTCAACTCACCTATACAGAATTCTTTCCTTCAAAATTATCATTTGTGTCTGTATATATAGAGATAAATGCACCATCTGTAGTTCTCAAGATTCTTTCTTTTTTGTCACTCTGCGACACATACAGAAATTTGAAGACATGGGCCTTGTAGATGTGGAGAGAACAACAATAGGGTTGGCTGCAAAAGACCCTTCTGGGATTCTCTCACCCTATACTTACACTCTCAGGTATATCTAATTTTAAGGCAGAAAAAGAAGTTAGAATCTCGTTTGTCGAGTTTTGTGTACTAGTTCACACCAAACATGCCCTTGATCCTTTTTTATTTTTTGGATGAATTTTTGTAACTAATCTTGGCTTGGGGAAATGTGTTAACAGAAACACTGGCCCTGAAGATGTTTATGTGAAGGTGATAAGCTGTGGGATTTGTCATACTGATATTCACCAAGTCAAGAATGATCTTGGCATGTCCAATTACCCCATGGTTCCTGGGTAATATTCCTCTCGTTACATATTTATTTATTCTATCATGTGAAGGTCATCCTTGTAAAGGAGGAGAGTCAAGGTAGGTTGATTGGCAGCATAAATCTTTGGCAAATCGAATTAAATATTTCATTGGGTGTTCCCTGTTGGCTACGGCTAGGAATCGAATGAATTGGCGACAAAGAATTCATGTAGCCGGCCCTAAAACTGTTTCTTTTGACAAAACCAACCATGTTATTTTGGATTTAGTTCTGTCTTTTTATTTAATAATCCATAGGTCACAAGCCTTCATGGAATTATATGACATTATTATTCATAAATCTCTAACCATTAATAATACTTATGAATAGGCATTCATGATAGATACGATAACTACACTTCCAACCTTAATTTTTAATGTGCATCTATTGCGTGTTTGGTAGGGATGATTGGATAATCTTGTCTCATTATTTGTCTAATATTGACTACCAAACATGCACTAAATGTTTTGTGCTGAATTGTTATCCCTATTTTTGAGCTGCTGTATAGGCATGAAGTGGTAGGAGAGGTGGTGGAGATAGGATCAGATGTGACCAAGTTCAGAGCCGGGGACGTTGTTGGAGTTGGTTGTCTGGTAGGATGCTGCGGGAACTGCCACCCGTGCAAGTCGGAAATTGAGCAGTATTGCAACAAGAAGATTTGGTCGTACAACGATGTCTACACGGATGGCAATCCCACACAAGGAGGATTTGCTGGCGCCATGGTCGTTAATCAAAAGTAAGTGTCAACATGACCTCTTTATACTTCTTGATTTATCTAACCAATATTTGAATAGGATTTTTTGGCCTCAAGTGTGCGTTTGTTCGAGGTTTTATGTGATTCGTACTTCTTTTCAGGTTTGTTGTGAAGATTCCTGATGGTATGGCACCGGAACAGGTAGCGCCTCTACTCTGTGCTGGGGTGACAGTGTACAGCCCCCTGCACCATTTCGGCCTCAAACAGAGTGGCCTAAGAGGGGGGATTTTGGGGCTTGGAGGGGTCGGACACATGGGAGTGAAGATAGCGAAGGCCATGGGACATCATGTCACCGTCTTTAGTTCTTCAGACAAGAAGAGAGTGGAAGCATTGGAAGACCTTGGCGCAGATGAATACCTCGTTAGCTCTGATTCCAGTCGAATGCAAGAGGTTGCTGACTCACTGGATTACATCATTGACACGATTCCAGTTTTCCATCCTCTCGAACCTTACCTTTCTTTGTTGAAAGTTGATGGAAAATTGATCTTAATGGGCGTTATCAATACTCCATTGCAGTTCATCACCCCCATGGTTATGCTCGGTGAGTTTCAAATTTTTCATCTCTATGTCTCATTATTCAAACACTGTATAGTTCACTTTAACAAACAAGCCAAACAAGCCATTAAGGAAGATGAAGTATAACATAGCGTGGTCATCCGAGGGGAGGCACTTTTTCTATCGGAGCGTATCTAAATTCTAGTTCTTTCTGGAAGAGATTATAGCTTTTATTTTTCCTTATTCTTAATACTCGTGGGGCTGCTTACCAGTATCCAAAATGTTTAATTACGATAATGAATGCAGGGAGGAAGACGATCACTGGAAGCTTTATAGGGAGCATCAAGGAGACCGAAGAAATGCTAGAATTCTGCAAGGAGAAGGGCGTTACTTCAACTATTGAGGTGGTTAAATTAGACTACCTAAACACCGCATTTGAGAGGTTGGAAAAGAATGACGTCAGGTACAGATTTGTCGTCGATGTTGCTGGCAGCAAACTTGACCAATAAAAAGAAAGAATGGATGCAAATTTACATATTTAAGTTCTGTTTTTCTTAAAGACTTACGTACACTAAGCAAAACTCTTGCGTGGTGATGTGTTAAAATTTTTTTCTTTGAAGACAATGAAATCTGGGTTTTGTTCATTTCTTGGATAATAAAATCAATACTTTGAAATTATCGACTCGTTCTCTTCTCATTAAAAGTAGTGGTGAATGTCCAAGTGATTATGACAATGTTTGGCCCCCTTTTTTTTGGGGATGTGTGTTAGAATAGTGATTTTTGAAAAATGTGTGGTTAAAAATAGGAAAGAGTTTCGAATGTTTGGTTGAAATTGAATTTTGAGGAAAATAGGGCTGAAACAGGAGATCTAAGTTGGCAAGTATGGTATTTAACTCGACACAATTAGTGTCAATACATTTCCTCGCTGCTTTCAACAGTTTCACGAGACTCGTTTTGTAATGGGAGTCGTCGTGGCCTAATTTGCGACGAGTCCAGTTTCTAGGAGTGTCTGCTATAATTGAATTTTGATGGGGTTTGGTATATTGGTTGTTTGAGTATGAAAGATACCAAACATGAATTAGTGCAATGAAAGTCTCTCTCTTCTGACTCACGCTTGATTAGTTTTATGCCCCGTTTGGTGCACATTTTTGGAAAAATAATGTATTTTTACTGTTGATATGATAGGGAATATGTGATTGAAAAAATAAAAAAAATTATTGATATAATGGAAAACATTATTTTATTGAAGAATGTGTGGTTAAAAATAAGTAGAAAAATGAAAATGAAAATTTTAATGTGGCTCAAACAGGGGCTTAGACCGGTTTTAGGATTAAACAAAATAGGGCTATTCTTCTCGTTATTATCAATGGCATTGTTCTTGAC